GAAAAAATAAGGTACAACGTAGAATTATTATATAAAAGTTAGGGTAAAGGATAAAATATGATTATTTAATAATAAGGAAGAGCATGATGAGAAAAAAAAAAGAAGGTAACGACGCGACCACACCAAAGCGGCCATTCCATAAAGTGACACTTTTCATCGTTACGTAACGACGGATTTAACGATACAATACAATAAAATTTAAATAACAATCAAAACAAACAAACATTGTATTTAAGTAACAACACAATACAATACAATACAATAAAATACAATACAAACAACAGTAACTTACTCAAATCGTGTATATAGTCGGAGCATCTAATTAACTACACAGAGACAACTCTAGTTTGGACGCAACCCAAGAAACATCAAGCTATAAAGTAAAATTCTCATGTTGCGATAGGATCAATTAGCACCATAGAGACGACGTCTTTCAAGTTATTTTTGGAAAATGTATAAGCATCTTCATCTTTATAAAAGAAATCTGCAACCCTTGTAAGGTTGAGCACTGGCATTAGCAAAACTCTTGGTACAGCTGTAGGTTTTAGGCATTCTCGATTCAAATCCTTCCATCTATTCTCTATTATTTTCCTAATTTCCATGTATGCTTCTTCTTTTTTGACACCATATTCATTCATGTAACATTCGATACCTGAAGCTACATCTCCTCTTTCAAGCTCTATCTGCATCCATAATATAATTGAAAAAAAAAAATTAAAATAAGAAGGAAACATTACTTCGGATTAAATCATACATCCTAATCCTTGAGCTATTATTTGCATGTACACTAATTTTCTTCAACTTTTTACTTGTGTATATGGAAAGAATATTTATACTATCACGTCACTTGAGAAGATAACTGTAGGGTACAAGTTAAATTACACTAATAGTATAAAAAGCATTTATACTGTCTGTATATAAAAGTAAGATCTTATTTATATATATTCAAGGATTGCACCAATAAATAACAAGACCTCATGTGTTACAAGATCGTTGAGCAATCTTGCAATTATACACGAAGCGACGAGAATTGTAGGTTCAGTTGATATCCAATCAAATGCCGCCTTAGTTGCTACCTCTCCCATGCCTAACCAAGAAGTAGTGGCAAGCAATAGGTAAGTGCTCGATGGAATTCCATTCTTTATATACTCCTCCATTGTTGGGACATTCATCCCATGATACCATTTGGCCTCTTGGAAGTAAGCCTTCAACAGCTTTTTCATCTGAAAGTTCATGGAATTTGGTTCACTGAGTTCAACTAAATCCAGTACTTTGACGCGATACGCAAATATATATGTGAATGGTTTACTAAAAATTGAATAAATATTAAAAGTTTAAACTCATATTTTCAAAGTAACCGAATTAAATGTCAGGTACTTAAGAGTTGAACCCATCAAGTTTTAATTTTTGCATCCATCTCCGAAGTTGTTCACTATTTTGTTACCTCAGTTATGGAATATTCGACTCCAAATGACTTATTATCATGACTTTCCAACTCTCTCTCCACTTCACGGTAAACATCAAGAAGAGCACGGTAAGAGAGCTTCATATACGGCGGTAACTCTTCTGAAGCATCAATGTTCCACCTACATTTATGTCAAATATCACATTCAGTCAAATTATATTCTACTGTGCAAAAGAGCATTGCTAAGTTCTTATTTTCTCTACCTAATGTTTTTCCCAGGGGTGTCAAATGAGCGAATTAGGCTGATTTTGGGCCGATCAAAACGGATTGAGTCAATAATTGGGCAGGTCAAGTGACCCGCCCGAAAATTAATTGGATTAAGATGGGCTAAAATTTGGGTCATAACCCAACTCGCCCAACTTTTAACAAGCTTTACTTAATTTGTGTTGTTTTCTTATGAATTGTATAATTACTAAATAAGAATTTTTTTCTTTTATTATGGTCATATATAACATATCAAACAAAAAATATTATTTTAAAGATATTTCGGTAAAGTTACTCATGGATCAATTTGGGCTAAAAATCAGCCCAACTTTAAATAAGTTAAGTTGAGTTAAATTGGGTCAAGATAGACTGAGCTCAATAAATGAGCGGGTCAACAATCATCCCAAACTTGGACGGGTTGGGCGGGTTATTTGGGCTTGAGCCAAATTTGACGGCCCTAGTTTTTCCAAATGTAGAAATATAAAGAAGTAAGCTATTGATGTGAGAAAATTAAAAAATTACCTTTCAATTGCCTTTGTGAGGAGAGTAAGTTCATCTAATGTGCCATATGTATCGTAAGTGTCATCCATAATTGAACAGAAGCATAACACTTTGGTTAGTATTTTTCTGGCAACGCTATACTGAGGCTCAAAGTATACACCTAAACTCCAGAAGTATAACTCAACTACTCTGTCTCTTGCAAAAGGTAGTGTCTCTGCTATTTCCGATTCTTTCCACCACCTAAAATGTAAAGTAATTGGAAGAGAAAATTTGATAAAGTAATTTAATCATATAAAAGTTGTTTACACTGTCAGTGAGTATAAAGTTAAATTTTGTAAAGTTAGATTAGTGAATGTGTAGCTTGCCAGTTACCTTGTGATATCACATAGCTCCCTTTTATGCAACCTTTGCAAGATGTTGAAATCCAATTTAGCAACATTTAGTAACACTTCATTGCGTGATTCATCAACATTTAGTGCATCGCTCACTTGCATCACGAGAGAATTGCTCAATTTAGGCAACATTTGCTTCAAA